TGAACATTTCCTCTCAATTATTGATTGTAGGGAATAAAATTAATCTCTGGTTATTTTGAATGACTCCTTCCCTTCCTTTCCTTCCTGAAGAAGGAACATGTTTAACAGAATTCTCAGGCAACTGATTTCTAGTATGTAAATAAACTGTACGTAGTCAAATTTGGTGTAGAGAATATTATAGCTTCAGGATGAAGCCAAGCATCTGAAAAGGTAAAATACCCATTGTTGAAATAATATAAAAATAAAGCATCCACATTTTATTATTCTGAATCCTTTTTCCGTAATATTGCTACATGTTGGGGGTGACTTTACAATGTAATGAAATAAAGAAAAAAATGGGTGAATACTTGAAATAGTCTCTATTATATGAATAGAAGATCTGGAAATAACTGTATTTCCTCACTTTTTGGGGAAAAAAATTCTGGTTGGATTTCAGCAGCCTAGTGTATAGCTTTATTTGTTAAATGTGACCTTAGCAAATCCAACCTTAATTAAAATTCCTCAAGACAAGAAAATGAAAATTGGAGTATATTAAAGCAGATATTCCAAGGAATAAAGTATTCTACAAATTAAAATAGACTTTTAAGGCAGAAAGGCTATTGAGCCCACCTCCAAAATAAGATGTAAAGTTGTTCCTATTAATTTTCTCCTCATTTGGTCAGTAGTGGTATGGACTAAATTCGTTACCAGTAAGTGTGACATTTTAGTTTTGTGAATACAAATGTTTATTGATTTTTTGGTCCTCCAGTAATGTGTTACCAGTTGCTGTACTCATATATTGGGTTAAGCTTTATATGTTGTGTTTTAGCAATGGAACTAGAAAATGTATGTAGTTATTTTGAGCCTTTTCTTGAAATACAATCACAAGAATTATTTAGAAGATCTTTAGAAAGCCCTAAATACACCATAGACTAGTTGTTTTTTGTATAAGCAGGAAAAAAACTTCCCTGCTCGTTTAAAAAAAAAAAAACTTTATTGAGATATAATTCACATACCATGTACTTCACCAATTCCCTGTTAGTTTTTAAAACCATTTCCTAGGGTCCTTTCAGTGTGTTTTTCAGATATTCACTGCCTCCTTTTCTAATCAACAGATTGATTGGGTTGAGGTATACAAGAGACGGGGCATTCCAGGTATAGAGGACAGATTAAATAAGGCCTTGAGGTGGAAATGGGAGGAAGGAATGAGAAAAATATTGCTCTGGGTAAGAAGGGAAAAAACAAATAGGAAGTAAGGTAGGTGTCTTACTGATGAATTATAAAGTAGATGGTAAAAAACTTGGGGTTGTGCCACCTTGGTTCACGGGGCCTTATTATAAGTGTGGTGCAGGTAGGGGACAGGGAAAACAAGAAACAGCCCACAGCCTCCTGGAATCGAACCTTCCTCACTGATGTTCAGGTGCCGTAGTCCTCTGGTGTCTTGCTTGTTAGCTTACTGGGGTTGATTGTCTTTCTCTCTGCTTCTTGTCTAATTCTGCTACCATCCAGCTACCCTGTGTACCATCCTAGCTCCCTCACAGCCTCTGCACACTCCCATGAGCAGTGGTGTGGGATCTTCTATTCTTCTGTTCTTTGGTCATTCCCCTGCTCTCAGCCCTCAATACCTTCCCATCCCACTGAGAATGCGATTCAGAGCCCTTACTGTGGCTCCTAGGGCGCTGCTCCCCCTCTGCTCCCAATTCCCAGCCCTGTCCCCCCGCCTCCACTCAGCAGTGACCTCTGTTCTAACTCACACACACACAGCCGTGTGCTAACTCATCCTCCCACCTCAGGACCTTTGTGCTTGCTCTTCTCTCTACCTGGAAGGTTCTTTCTCAGGTATTTGTTTTGCTTCCCTCCTTCATGCGGGCCTCTGTAAATGTCAGCTCCTTGGAGAAACTTCCTTGACCACCTGACCTAAAGTGGAGTCCCACACCCTGATACCTTATCTGCTGCTTCTGTGTTATCTTCCTTTATCACACTTTCTTGTACTTGACATTATAATAAACATTTACAGTTGACACTCCATAACCAGAGTTTTGCATCTGTGGGATTGGTTGAATCCACAAACGTGGAACCCACAGATTTGGAGGGTCAGCTTACTATGCCATTTTATATAAGGAACTTGAGCATCTGCAGATTTTGGTATCCCTGGAGGTACTGGAACAAACCCCAGTGGCTACTGAGGGAGGACTGTATTTTGCATTAGGTTATTGTCTTTCTCCCCCACTGGAATGTAAACTCCTTGAAGGCAGGCTTGGTGCAGTGTATATGTTGCGGCATCCTCAGTACCTAGAACATGCCTGGAACGTGGTGGGCACTTAATATTGTTGATTGCACACTGACATACTATAGGGCCCATTTTCAGACTTCCCATGAGAAGAGGTCTGTTGGGTTGTCCAGTATTTAGTGCATCTGTTGGGTAAGATGCTAGGCCAACCTGCCCCCCTACCTGCTAGACAGCTCTTTTTTTTTTTTTTTTTTTTTTTTTTGCGGTATGTGGGCCTATCACTGTTGTGGCATCTCCCGTTGTGGAGCACAGGCTCCGGACGCTCAGGCTCAGCGGCCATGGCTCACGGGCCCAGCCGCTCCGCGGCATGTGGGATCTTCCCGGACCGGGGCACAAACCCGTGTCCCCTGCATCGGCAGGCGGACTCTCAACCACTGCGCCACCAGGGAAGCCCTAGGCAGCCCTTAAGTCAGGTGCTCATCCCTAGTAAGTCCAGCCAGTAGTGGTCAGGTCAGTGAGGTCATGTGGTCTTCTATAGTTATCCCTTTCTTCCCACTTGAATGGCCTGGTTTCTCCAAAAGGTTTATATTTCAACTCTTGGTTCAGGAGAAAAATTTTGACAGATTCCCATGCTGTGGAACAGTTGCTTCCTAAGGGTCTGGAGGAATGATAGGAAGCAGTGTTTTGGCTTTCTTGACCTTCTTTATGTCCCCTTGCCGTGTCGTTCTGGCTCATACATTTGTGGGTTTTCTCCTCCTGTTTGTTTTTCTCCAGTTCTTGAGTTTAGTCTGTCCTTTCTCCTCTGTTTTCCTTTCTTGCTCCTCCTTTCTCTTTTTCTTTTCTCTCAGCTGCCATTTTGCTTTGCCCTCTGTATCATTCCAGAGCTTGCTTAGCTTGAATCATTGTCTCTCAGAAAGATTTCAGTTTACCTGCTTTGTGTACTGTTTGTTCCTTTGTGCCTTATAGGTGGAGAGAGGTAAGAAGGAGAATGGGGCCAAAACATTCTTTCCTTCATCCTTTTATTTAACCTGTATTTGAAAACCTACTTTGTGTAAGACATTGTGCCAGGTTCTGGGCTACCTCAGTAAACAAAAGGTCCTTAGTTGGGGAGACAAAGAGATTGTGTGTTTATTTCTCATTCATTCATTCACTCGTTCAACAAATACTTATTGAGACTGGAATATAGTGGTTGGCAAAAGCAAAAATTCTTCCTCTCATGGACCTCATTGCATTTTGGTAAGACAGGCATACATTAATTAGACAGTTACACAAATGAATGTTAAATTACACCTGTGTTGAGCCCTATCAAGGAGGACACCATAGTGCAAGACTGTATATTGGGGGGATTTGTTCTGGGAACAGTTTCCTCGAGGAAGTGAAGAATGAACTGAAATCAGTAAGACTTAACTACGCAAAGACAGCAGGGAAGGGGAAATAGCAGATACAGAAGTCTGGTGCTGAGACTGGGCTTCTGGAGCATTTGAGGAAGTGAGAGTATAGAGAGCAGGTGGGGTGAGGCCAGGTGAGGCTGATGAGGCAGCCTGGGATCACATCCAGCAGGGCTTTGTAGGTCCTGTTAAGGACTTGGGTTTTTATTCTTTGAGCAATGGGATGCCTTTGAAGTGTGGTAAACAGGAGAAAGGAGGAGAAAAGCATTTTAAAAATCTTTATGTTTAAAACACTAGTCTGAATTCTGTGGAGAACAAATGCACTCGAGCATAGGTGTGAGTGACGGTAAGGAGGTGGGAACAGCAGTTGGGAGGCTGTAGTGGCAGCCTAGAGGAGAGGTGAGGTTCAGGGTTAGCAAGGACTTTAACTTTCCAAGCCTACCCTCACTTCCTGTTAAATGTATTTATTTATCCAAAAACACTGTTTCTGAAGTTGACTTACCCCAAAAGACACAGATGCAACAAAACTTAAATTCATTCAAATGAGAAATGAAGGATGATTGAAATAAAAAGGAGTATGAGTAGAATTATACCAGAGAGTATAGGATAAAGATAATGACTGAAATCATGTATAAAACTTAGCTCTGAGCTCCTGGAAGCCTAGGCAGAAGAGGAAATAGTATAGGTCACATGATTGTTCAACAAAAAGAAGCATGCTAGTTAAGCAAGGGAAATAATCTTTTCCTTATAAACATTTAAAGTACTTTATTAAGAAGTAAAATTAACCTGGATAGGTCCAGATTATTGAAACCCAAAACCTCAGCTCTTGAGATTATTGCATTAATCCATTTTTGGTGGTAGGTATTTCAAAAAGTAAACATTTCAGAAATATTCAGAGCTGAACTACATACATGGATTTCTTATTTGACGCCTTGTTACAGAGGGGAAGCACAAAGAGTAGAGAAAGTAGAGAAAGGTAGACCAGGTAAGATGCTCGTAATGCAACCTCTGGGCACGAAGTAAACCCATAATGTACTTTCTTGAGGACCTTCCCATTTGCTTTCCCAGATACTTTTTTTGTTGCCTGCTTCTGTCGCCACTTCATTTGTGTCTGTAAATACTTATTCATGGAAGGCATCCCTCCTGCCTTGCAAGATGCATAGTCAGGGACAAAGAATGAATGCCATGCACAGAAGTGGCATTCTTATTTCTCAGTTGTTCACATTCCAGCCAGCGAAACCTCCTTCCAGAATCAAGAAGCTCAAAAACAAAATCATTTCTCAGTTTAATGAAGTCATCCAGAGTTCCCAGCGACTCCCCTTGTGAGTTCTCTCCCCTTGGGGCTTCTTCTCCACGAATTCCTTCCTAGCCCTGTACTTGGCCAGCAGCTTCAGTTACACTGCCTACTCTCCCGCTAAAATGTTAGGCCCAAAGGTGCAGGCGGGTCCCAGGAGAGCCAGAGAGAACAGTACAGTAGGGAGCAAGAAGTCAGGTAAGTCCAGGTTGTTGGCATCCAAGACCTCAGCTCTTGAGGTAACGGACATAATCCATTTTTGGTGGTAGGTCACGTTGGTGTAGACTCCAGGAAAAGAAAGACCACATCCTGTTCCCCAGCTTGACAATCCTATCTGGATCCATATACCATCAATATGACATGACAGAGGCCCTCCAGAATCACCCTAAGGAAGAGATAAAGGTCATGAGCCTAGTGAAGAAGGACCATGAAGAGGAGCGTGGCCGCAGGGGTGGAGGTTCCTTCGAATGGGGCAGTGGAGCCCGTGGAGCTGTAAAAATCCGGAGGGAGCTGGACTTCCCACTGACATGGAAACTTAGAATCATAGAATCTGAAATTGGCAGAGACCTTAGCTAAATATATCAGTAGTTTCAAACTACTCATCTGTGATTGAAAAGAAAGAAATATGATGAGTTTTTCACTAAATTCATTCAGTTGAATGAACTGTCCTTGTTTTTCTATTTTTAGGTTCTTATTGCCTTTTTTAGTGTTAAGATAATGCTCTCTTATGTAAAATGGTGGTGATAGTAGTTGGTGATGTATCTCTCAATCTTGCTATTATTTTGGTAACAGCTTTATTGAGATATAATTCACATACTGTACAATGCACCCATTTAAAGTTCAGTTTTAGTATATTCACAGTGTTACTCAACCATTACCACAACCCATTTTTGTCACCCCCCCCAAAAAACTCCATACCCTTTAGCAGTCACCCTCATTTCCTCCCATTCCTTCCAGCCCTAGGGCAGCCAGTTACCTACTTTCTGCCTCTGTGAATTTGCATATTATGGATATTTTGTATAAATGAAACTATGTATGACCTTTTATGTCTGGCCTCTTCCACTTAGCGTACTGTTTTCAAGGTTCATCCATGTTATGTCAGTAACATGTGTAAGTACTCCATTCCTTTTTATGGCTGAATAATATTCCATTATATTGCCATACCACATTTGTTATCTAGTCATCAGTTGATGGTCAGTTGGATTGTTTTCACTTTTTTTTTTTTTTTTTTTGCGGTACGCGGGCCTCTCACTGTCGTGGCCTCTCCCGTTGCGGAACACAGGCTCCGGATGCGCATGGCTCACAGGCCCAGCAGCTCCACGGCATGTGGGATCTTCCCGGACCGGGGCACGAACCAGTGTGCCCTGCATTGGCAGGTGGACTCTCAACCACTGCGCCACCAGGGAAGCCCTGTTTTCACTTTTTGGCTATTATAAATAATGCTGCAATGAATATTCATGTACAAATTTTTATATGGATGTATTTTCCATTTCTCTTGGTTGTGTACTTAGGAGTGGAATTCCTGGATCATGTGGTAAGTCCATACTTAACCTTTTGAGGTTTTCCAGAGTGGCTGCACCATTTTACATTCTCACTAGGTATGTGAATATTCCCATTTCTCCATATTCCTTGCCAACTCTTGTTATTATCTGTCTTGATTATAGCCATCCTCCTGGGTGTGAAGTTGTGTCTCATTGTTGTTTGATTTGTAAATAATGAATATACAGACAGGAAAATTTGGCAGAGATATAGAAAAATGCGTGTGAGGGGGGTGGGGAGGGAGGGAAGGAGGAAGTAAAACCCAAATGGTCATTCTAGAACTAAAAAATAAAATATCTGAAATAAAAATTTCACTAGATGAACTTAACAGTAAAATGTAGATGGCAGGAGAAAGAAGCAATGATTCTGAATATAGATTAATTTAAACTATCCAATTTGAAAAACAGAAAAAGGTAAAAATAAAATATCAGGGACTTGTGTGAAAATATCAAAAGTTGTAACTTACAAATTTTCAGTTTCACCCAGAAGGGGAAAAGAGGGAAATAAGGCAGAATAATAGTTGAAGAAATTATGAATGAAAATTTCCCAAGTTTTGATGAAAGGTAAAAGAGTAGATTAAAAAAACAAGTCACTGAATCCCAAATAGGATAAAGACAAAGACAATCACACTTAGGACATGACATTCAAACTTCTAACAATCACATATGAAGGAAAGTGTATTGAAAGCTGCCAGAACAAAACACATCACACCCAGTGGAGGAAGACACAAATGATTGCTGAATTTTCATCAGACAGTTATGATCAGGAGACAATGGAATGACATCTTTTAAGTGTACAATGAAATGTTTCTTCAGAACATTAAAAAGTTGGCACTTCTATGTCAACCTCTTAATATATTTATAAAAACATATGAGACTGTGAAAATCCAAGCACCAGTGGTTAGCATTGCTCTAGATCAGCAGTTGAAGAGATTAAATTAATAGATAAAGGTTAAGTGACTTATCCAGGTTAACACAGAATTATTGTTGGAACATTTGTCTCCTGATTCCCAATTCACTGTTGTTTACAGATGGGCAAACCTGGATCCAAATTAAGATCTCATGTTAAAGTAAAAAAATTTCAAGAGCAAACCCTGACCTGGCAAGTATCCTTTCTTTTCTCAAGATCACCAGCACAAATCATGCTTTCCTGGATGACAGGCTCTGTTTGTGGTAGTAGGTAACCCACCGGGTTGTAGATTATTTCTCAGTGCTGGTGTTCAATGATAGGTATTTCTGCTTCTTGGAGGATGGTAGGGTAGTCAGAATCTGTAGAGATAAATAGGAGTGAAAGGAAAAGCAGCCTGGAAAGGTGCAGGGACAACATTCAGTCATGATATGCAGACATCTCTGAATGGGAAACCAAAAGCAGAACACAGTCACTTTCCAATCACGTTGGCTAATGGAAGAGCTTTTTTGGTACAGTTAATCTAAAACAATGGATAATTCAAAATTCTATTTGTTTGGGGCTTTTCTAATGTGCCACGTGGGGCATTCCTAATGTTCTAAATAAAGAGAAGTGCCGATACATTTTTTTTGTTTTGTTTTGTTTTGTTTTTTGCGGTATTGCGGGCCTCTCACTGTTGTGGCCTCTCCCGTTGCGGAGCACAGGCTCCGGACGCGCAGGCTCAGCGGCCATGGCTCACGGGCCCAGCCGCTCCGCG